TATTCTAATATTATATATAAAAATTTAAAAAAAATTTAAACAATATATATATTATTTTCGAATGTTTGAATTTTTTTACAAGAAATAATTTACATCCCATACAGATTATATGGGCCTTATTTACTTCAATAATAATTTTACATTTCCAAGTTCTTAAATTGGCGGATATTTTTTTTAAAAGTTGAATTCATTTTTTATTTAGGAATTTAACAAAAAACTTAATTAAGTCAATATGCTATTTCATGATGTTTCCTGGAAAACAAAATTAGACATCTGAGATATGTTTTAGTTGCAAGGTCTTTTCATAAACTAAATTATATGTAATAAAAGAATCAATTCTGTAAAATAATTCTATATTCATAAATTATATATATAGTTCATCTTTTTATAGTATCTAAAAAACCACACCAATATTATAAATATTTATAAACTGGGGTGATTTTTTTAGATACTTCAAAAAGATGATATATATATATATATATATATATTTATTTATAAATCATTTTTTACACCAATATTATAAATACTATACTTTGGCAACAAAGTATAGTTATTATTACATTTTTTGTTTTGTTTTGTGCTTTAATGTAAAATGTTTCAAATCATTTTATTATGTTAGAATTAAGCTTTAAAAAGAAAATATCTAATAATTTTTTTTTATCAAATTCTCTAGTTACTTTGCAAGTTATGGTATTTTCAGAATAGGCACATTTTGATGCATTGTTGTTTTGCCACTAAAATTAAAAACGTTTTTACCTAAAACAAAAAATTGTAATGCTTCAATTCTTGTCTATAATATAAAAATAGTATGAATTTTAACACTATCATTAGTAGGCTATATGTTATAAAAAAATACTATTTTTTCTTCTTCTATATTTTATTTTAAATAATGGCATTCTAAAAAAATATATATCGAAACAAAAACTATTAATAAATGTATTTTTAAAAAAATGGCTAAAAAATCAAGCAGAAGTATTGATAATTTTTTTTTAAAAAAAAAAGTCTGTGTAAATCTTTTGGTATTGTGGAGAATATTTGTACAATTGTTGGTCATTGTCATTATTCACACACATTGACCAACAATTGTACAAACATTTGCACATCTAATATCACACTTAGATAATTACAAAAAAATAAGAATAAAAATAAATCATTCTTATTATTATTATAATATATATATATATATACACACACACACACACACACACACACACATATATATATATATATATATATATACATACACATATATATTTATTTACTTTGTGAACACGAGAGAGTTACCATCTCTCCAGTATCACCCATTGTACAATATTAAAATTTTCACAACTAGGATTTGAACCACCAATCTCACAATACTACCAGCCTACCCTTCTTACTTACTTTGCTTTGATAGTTTAAAGTCATTGTACACAACGAGAAGTAAGAAACAAACCTACACAAAATAATCTTTTCTCTATGAGGGAAGGGGACATGGAAAATAAGGAACATCCTTCACCCTGTTTGTGAAGGATCGTCAAACAATCCCAGAATCGAGACGAGATCTCATCTACTTACACCCGAACTCCAGCTTTTTCCACAGCAATCGCGGGCACAATTACTACAACAATTATAATAATCCCTCAGTCATTAGTGTAATCCTCGGAGGATTCACTAAACCTCCTAATCGGAGATCTGCGAGGAATAAAAAACAAGGCCCCAAGATCCCAGTCCGCAGCACAGACTATCTCCTCGTCACCTGCAAATCAGGATTCCGGGGCTGCAAAACTTCCAGTCCAGAGAAGAGCAAATCTGTCGCGGTTCCCAAGTGGCGAAAAGCGAGGTTTAAAGGCTAGAAAACGTCACAATAGCAAGAGTCCAGTTGGGATTATGATCTAGGACTTAAGGGCTGCTCCTGCTGCTGCAAGGGTCTGGAAGCCTGGAGCCTGGAGCCTGTGTTTCTTCAAAACGGTTACGGTGTAAGCCACTGGCAGTGAGCTCCGCCATGCCTGTGTGTGTGTGTGTGTGTGTGAGAGAGAGAGAGAGAGAGAGATACACATTAAACTTGGATGCCTATGCATGTGATTAATCTAAGCTAGATTAACTAGCAGAGAGTTCTGCCCAGCTGGGTACACTGGAGAGAGATTACTGCAGCTGCTTAAGGACGGTGCACCTACTAATACCCCTTCTGATTCAAAACGCTCACATGCCCAAAAGGCGGCTGCAGGGATAATACTCCCTCATTAAAACACATTCATTCCTCGACTGCTGCGTTGCCACAGCGTGATGAAGAGTTACGATTGCATTTATGATGAACTGGGCAGTGATTGCATCCCCCTGTTGCGAATGGAATCTAGCAGCTTTTGGGTTGGGTGGGTGGGGCGGATGCAACCCCATCGCAGTGGGATCCGCGAATGATTTCGCACGATTTCATTGCGCCTTGCTGTTCAGAGATTATCATATCTTACTGCGTGTCTTGTGAAACGAACTCGTCGCAAGTTTTTTCATCGTTCAAGGATTGCGCGTTGGATTTTGTTGAGTCTCGGGCATTCTACAGTGAGACTCGTATTTACCCATACGAGTTTTGGGTTGCGATGAATACATTCGGTTTGGGTTGAGTTTTATACAAGAATAGTGGAAAAGTAACTCGTCTTTTATTTCGGTTTACATTTTTTGGTTTTCAAAAGGGATGTGACTAATCCTGGTGTACAAACAAGTCCTTGTATCATTTAATTGTGATGAATTTATTAGATCTAACATATTTCTTAATTTTGATATCCCACATGTTTTTTCTCTTACGCTACTATGTGACGTTCCTATCCGTTTTGTGAGCTTCTGAGACGATTCAGCATTCAATGTCAAAGATTTAAGGATTTTCACCACTAGATTTTATTTTTGTTTTTTTGTTTATTCGGCAGGATGTTACGAATTCCAGCCTCCACGAGGTGCCGATCCGAAGTTTCGAAATAAGAAGGGTTGCGCGATCGGATCCTTCAATTTAAAGGACACAGTTCCAACAAAAGCAGCTCGATTCCAGCACATTGCAGGATATTATTCTGACATATTCGACATGGTTAAGAACCTTGTGGAACTTGGGCTTGGACACCAAGGCGGTTAGGGTACAAATATAATTCCATTTTAAAAACTTTCTTCACTAACTTAATTGTGATTTAAATATATATATATATATATATGTATATTTAGACAACAGATTGTTTTACTGTACAGGTGCCCGATTCTGAGTCCATTGGGAGAAAAAGTTTCCGGGCGAAGAATCTTACAAGTTACACCCCCTGCAAGATTAGAATTGTTTTTAAAAAAACTGGGTGGAAATTACATAAGTAAACATATACCTAATAAGGGGCTTATGATTGATCACATTGACTTTTGGGTTCCACAGTGTGTACCCTATTTTCTACACGTCACAGCAACATCGTAGAAAATGCCGAGAGGCAGTTTGGTGCATTAGAATTGTGGTAGAAATCAGATCACGTCGTCTGCTCCTCTCCTAGCTCACATCGACTTGACTGAAACATCATCGAAGTTTAGTTCTTTCAACGATTAAGTAAAAGAGAATTTGGTAACACCCCAGCTACCAATACATGAGGTGGACATAGCGAAAGAATAAGGTGTGGTCAGTTCTTTCTCTTGACAAAATCAAGATTTATTTACTGGACAATTTAGCCTGTGCTTCGGTGCATACACGTCCTTGAATGATGTTTTGAGTTGCTGTCTTCGCTAGTTCGAGGTAGGACACGTCAGGTATCTCATAGGTACAACGGCAGGCTTTTGTAAATCTTGTCCCACAGTGTACTGCTGGTATGTATCAATGGTTTGATGGTGGTGATGGGCCATCGCTGAACTCATAAATTTCACTGTAATGTAGAAATCAAATACAGAAAACATTACAACGCACTTTTGCTCGATTATCTTACAGTTCTTATTTTTGAAATTTCGGGGTCACAAAATTTCAAATCGAGTCTCGCAAGTTGCTGTTTGCTGATAAATGCGCATGTTATGCCGATTCCTTCATGTGGGCTCCACATCAGTTTGGATCAGAACTTCTATTCCAAATTGTATTCCCGCTTGTCATTAGGTAGTTCTTACTCCTTGTGATGGGATCCAGAGCTCTCCATCTACAGGCTTACATGGGTATTGGAAAGTTGACGATTCAACTTGGAGAAGGTGTGTGATTACTTCTACTCTCACTTGTATGTAGCAAAAAACAATCTATTGTGAAGGTGGCAGATGTTGCCGAGTTAGCAAATGTGAATATCGGTTGTGTAATACTAATCGTTCTTTACTCCGGAGCTTGATCTTTCATGTACAATACTCACTACGTCAAGCACCACTACGAAAGTAATAGACCTAATGCATAGAAATTGGTTTTTGTGAGAACTGCGACTTCGGTACTCTCTTCCAAATTATCAACTGCTTTGCACGCACAACAGTGTTACCAAAATGTTAAGCGTAGGAACTCGTGAAACAATTGCAACGAACTGAGGTGGTAATTTTCTGATATACATGTCATCAATCTGTATCCATACAGAGGTCAGAGAGACACTGTAACCATACAGTGTAATTTAAGCAACAGTTTAGACTGAGCATCTCGGTTTACATGTTACCCGAGAGACAGAACGTTTTATCAAGAAAAAAATTAACGATCTTCATCACAGGATTTGATAGATTTCTTGTGAGTTTCGCTCATTCGGCAGCAATCTATCTGCTATGCACTTCAACAGAATACTACAAATCTACGGGTGGTTGATACCCTAGGTGAAAACAGAGATTGCACACATACGAGTTGGCAAGTAGGGTGGTAAGGTTACGTTTACAGTAGCCTGAAATGACATTCTCTTCTTGAAGTCAGTCGAAACGCTGTAAGACAGTAAATAAAGAGCAACAATCAACTTCACAAATAGTATCAAGATGCACACAAGCCTCCACGCAGGTAGATGAGAATTTTAGATTTTCATTTGAATCTGATCGGTCAGTTTTTGCGTGGCAAAGGGTAGACACAATGAAGTCAAGAGTTGGCAGCGCTTGGTTATGTATCTTCATATACATGGATTACGAACTTGTGCAGAAACTGGAACAATATTTAATATGTGCAAGGGTGCTCAGGCTTGACTAATGCGGGAGAGTTTGATCATAAATAAGTCCACATCGAGAGAGTTTGACCATAAAGAAGTCTCAATGTATGAACAATCCTCTCCTTAATCTAGCTAATCGCTGATGACCAGACTATAAGTGCATTAGATGATCCTAAAGATGCAAGCCGAAATAACATTATTGGCCGATCATTCTTCAGAATATGCAGATGCGGCTGAAACGAATTGGCATCGCACCGTCAACAATGACACTACTCCAATGATATGGTACAGTAGAAAAATGAGGAATGTGTACCATAATATGGACCTAGTGCCAAGCATGCGATGACAATGGACTCGGGGACCCTGGTGAAAAAGATGAGCTCGAGTACAGTTCCGACACAGAAGGAAAAGAGCACTCCGACGATTGATATGTCACAGTTGATTCTTGCGTACTCTCAAGGCTCGAGCACGACTTCGGACTCAAACCAAATCCAAGCTTAAGGTCGAGTTCCAGTGATCTACCCGCACTGGAGCCCGAGCAGTCTCTACCGAGCAGTGCATGAGCCTGGTTTTGGCTCAACATCGCGCTCTGCAATAAGACGCCCTTCTTTGGAGGATGGGTCATAAATTCCGAAGTCCTCACTTCGTCACTGACACGGATGACGCCTTTCGCGCTTGACAATTTAGAACCCTTGCATTCCTTGGAGTAACTTGGGACAGTGCTTCCATACGACCGTCTTTGGGGTGCAGGGTTGGTCCTCCGCACTGCTTGGGCACGTGATGTCAGTTGAGAGCGACATATAGACAATTGATTACATACAGTACTCTCAATCTTCCCTCGTAGATCGTCACTGCATGGAGGTGCGAAGTTTGTTTTGGCCTTGGAACCGCGAAGAGCTCGTGCAGCTGAAACATCGTCCACATAGGTAGAAATTAGTTGGATTCCAGGAAATCTCTCACCGTAAAGAAATGCATCGAGAGTATTGGAGCAATTTGAGTAAGTCCCACGAGTGATTCAGTAATCTCACCACTGTCGTACGCTCGTGCAGCATCCTCAGCTGTGTCAAAAGTTCCTAACCAATGCCGACATCTGCCGATCCGATCACGGATCTCAGCAGACCACCGACCCCATGGCCTTTTCCTCACACCTCTGAACGAACGACCAGTACTAGTGGCCGCTGGGACCTTTGCAGCACTGGATTTACCTAGACTAGGCATCACTCCCGTTGGAGAGACATCTAAAGAATGCCTGCAATTCTCAACAGATCCATACAATTGTGGCTGAAACTTCGGCTTCACATCGGCTGACTGCTTCATGAGAATTCTGTCAGGTGTCGGCCGAAAGTTACTTAGCGCAAATCGCAAGCCATCGGCGGTGAACTGTTTGGGATATTGCGATGTTGGCGACGCCAAACCAAAGTTCCAGCTGTGTGTCGGCGAGATCTGATTCACCTGTGCTGCAAGCTGATTGTCCCCTTGCCTCGCGGGCGGTGCGAGCCACGAACTGCGCTCCATCGAAAATGCAGACGTAAGCAGTGCCGAACAATGATCTTGATTAAGATCGCATGTTTCCGGCTTTCCGAATAGGACGGTCTGGCCAACAACTGCAGCAATGCCATCCAGGTCCTGCACCTCCACGCTACTATTCGGAGATTCGCAACTTTGAAAGGAAGCAGGGACGGGCGAAACCTCCGTCTCCGATTCACCGTAACCAGCCAGAAAGGAGGTTGGGTTTAACTCTCCGAGAATCTCATACAAATACTGGTCTCCAGAAAACCGATGGGAGTAGTCCATGTCTTGCAGAACTGGAATATCGATATTGTCGACTAATAAAAGAGAACTAGCAGAAGAATTGAAGCCAGAGAAATTGGCTCTCTTCGCTGTGCAGTTGTCAGGTGAGATGCCTCGCCACTTGCGCTTCGCAAGCACGGTACCACCCAACATGTCATGTAGTGCCATGATCACTTGACTTCAGCTGATTACAAGTCCAGTTTGTGTAGATAGTCCTTGCAACTTGGGAGCAAAAAGCCCTTCTACCACTCAAACTCCACACTCTCAACTTAGTATTCACGCTCCTTCAGTGATCAAAATGACACCGAACTCGTCTGCAGCGAGCCTGAGCTTGAGATGATGTCAGTTCTGTAGTTCCGCAGCCTAGAGATACTCTTGTACCACGCAGAATATTATGAACTCTTCTTGTAATACTCAAATTGCGCTGATCAGCTTCCAATTCAGCAATCTCCAGGCAACAGTTGACAGAGACGCTGCTGAGGGTGGGGAATCCAAAGGGCGATGACTGCAAGAATGGACTCCCAATACATACACCATCCAGAGGTCACCGACTTCCCTCAGATGTTGCGCTCATGACCGATGTGATCACCTCTACAGATGACAAAACAGCCACACCGCAAGGAACGTAGCGAAACCCGGCTACCGCAAATCAGCGCAACTTCGAGACGCTGTTGGCAGTGGCACCTACACCGACTGGAACGTCCTAGGAAAGAGCCAATAGTGGTCACACATGCGACCGGAGCTGCACGTAAGCTCCGCACAAGCGCTGCAGCGGAGCAGTGTGCGTCCAGGTACGTGAACCTGTTGTTGGTTCGGACAGCCACACGAGCGGGCGTGGAGGAGGAGAAGACAGACACAGTAACCACATCACTCCTCAGGAGTGAGCCTGGAGACCCTAATGGCACCGAGACTAAGGGCACAGTGCTTAAAACATAATGCCCGCACAGTTTTTGTACTACACTTCGTCACTCAGCTCAACCTTGTATATGCAGTTGCTTGTGCACAGCTCTCTCTCTCTCGCTCTAAATGTCGCTCCCTCTCCACCCAAGTTATACAACGAAGTGTGTTGAAGTTACTGTTCACAGCTTGTCTTTCTCCACTCAACTCCCCAGCTACCTTTGGAGAGAGAGATGGAAACGATTGCGTAGCTCATCCAATTCAAGTTGGTTTGCAAGTAGGCATCGCTACAGTTGCTACAAACTAGCTAGGCAATGGGTTGAGTGGTCTTGGGTGCATCAGCCAGGATGAAGCAGGGCCAGTGCTACCTTGTAGGGCACCTCGTAGAAGACGCTACATCAGGTTTTCACCATTTAAAAGGGTGTTATTGAGTGCTTGTGGATTTATCTGCACCTTGTCACAAGAATTTCTGGCGTGCTTGCTCATTCCTTTGTATGAGCACTCTAGCCTCCAATTTGAATATGTTATATATATATATATATATATATATGTATGTATGTATTTGTATATAATAAGTGATTATTCATATGCACAATTTATATTTCATATTGAAATCTTTTTTCCAAAATTATCATATCCCATAAATCTTGTTTGGTGAGTTTCTAAACGGTTAATGAGATTTTTATAACTTAAGCGAAATGAATAAAACAAATCAAAAATCTTTTTTTTATGCAATTCTTGTATCAAATCTTCCAAAATATATGTATGTAGCTTTATCGAGGAAAGTAGTACAACGCTAATTCCAAGACGTTCTGATGAATCATTACAAAAGTACTCTTTAGTGACCAAAGTCTAAATTTTAGAGCTGTTAATAGGAGTTACTTCCTGGATGTGATTGTATATATACTAGAATAAGTAAAGTTAGTACTTTCTAAAACATCGCAAACGCTATATTATCGTATCTTTTTTACTTCTAGCATTGTTGTTTGTTTGTTTGTTTGTTTTTTTGGTCATTTCAGTGCTCGTGCTTTTTTAATTAACTACATACAGTTTTCATTTAAATTATTAGATGGAGATGATATCAACTCTTAAAATGTATCATTGTCAAAAACGTTCTTAGAAAATGGGATTGGAATATTGTGATTAAGATGTTAAAATACTTCCTCACAGTGCAAAAACTTTTGAGGTCTCAGGTATTGACATGCATCTTTTCAATTACATCACATTGTGTTCTTGAGTTCACCTCACAATTATTACATATAACAGATAATTTAAATTTACCTCACAATTGTGGCATATAACAAATAATTAAAATTTTAAAAATTACAGCAGAGATTTTATTTCAAATATTATCCAACCGTGTCATTATGTTTCATAATTTATTTCATACAAAATTACATAGATTTTTAATTGAACTGTTACATACTGAACTACAAAACTCATCTATGGTTAAATTGTTTCATGTCATTCGATCTTAGTGCCAAATCATTCCAATTTTATCTGAAAGCTGACTTCTCCCACAATCTCCTAATTTTGATTGTGATCCATGATAATAATACTAATAAATTTTTACACCAATCTCACTGAAATGCAACGATTTCATTACTTAAAGATGATCTATTTTTGTCTACATGTGTGTTTGTGAACAACTGTCCATTTTTAGTGTTAAACTTATGAAATAATAATAATGACGATAACAACAACTTCAAATCAATAAAGAAATAACAGCTACTTTACTGAAAGTACTGTTCTCACACAAGCTGAAAAATAACAGAAGTGGAGGTCTTATCCACGAAGATGCAAACATACACACATATATATATATATATATATATATATAAGAAATTTTAAAAATGCAAGTTAAAGTATTTCAGTGGGGATGAGAATAATTCTGCTTACGTTAATCAAGCTCTCTTCCTTCCTCGTTAGATTTGCATGCTTCATGTAGGACTCAATTTGTGTTTCAGTCTATACTACAAATCACCGTCGTTGCAGGCGATTAAACAGAGTCGTGAGCTTGGCATCCAGAGCTGGTTGACAACCAACCCCTCTCACCCAGGTCCTTGAATTCGGCAGACGAGGGAGAAGGTGGCAATTGGTGGGTCAACAGGGAGCTATTCCGGGCATTTTGAAGCACATGGATTCCAGCAACGACAAGGCAACGGCCTCCTGTTCCGCACCCTTCCACAAAAATCCAAGCCGCTTGCCGAAGGATTCCAATTTTGATGACGACAAATAAAGCAAAACCTCGGAGGTCCAAGCCTGATGCCCAACAACAAGAGAGCGTGCCCAGTCGCTCTCTCCTGACAGTCCTGGAATTCAACCCGACTCTGGTGTCTTATGCGGTGAGCTCATGACTAGAAAAACAACTTTATTAAATCAGTTATGTTTAGCAGTGGAGCTTTACATGGTCTGTTTCATGCTACGGCCACCGTCGCTGAGAATTAAGCGAGCCCTCTTCTGGGTCGGCTACGGAACTACGGTGTAGCTTCAGTTTGGGTTCCCTTTTCGTGCCTTTAGGCGGCAGCGCTGGTGGATCATGAGGCACCTCCTAATTCGTTCAGTTTCTGAAGCATTAGGGTGGCATATAGAATGTGGATCAATGCCCGCTTAGCACTTCTCTCATTGATCTATTGATTACGTGATTGAAATGGTGAGCCAACATCAGCAGTCTTTGTCATTGGCCTGATGTGCAACTGATTATGATTTTTATTATTACATATTATATATTATTGATACCATGCAAAAAGAAATTCCACTGAGGATATTCTAGTGCGGAAAATTAGGATATCCTGTTACGTCGAGATGGAATTGCCTAAACATAGAATCCGCTGATTCAGCATCTCTGAACTATATGTTGTTTTCGTTCGGCGCACACGGTAAAACCTGCTGAAACGATTGTCCCATGTCACCGTTATTTTTTGGATTGCTCAGCGTTGCATTGCGCATGGAAAGTCGAAACCGTACTAAGCTTCACAAATCTACGATGTTATTCCGAACTTGAAAAAACCGTCCCTGGAATCCCAAACCCAATCCATGAGGTGATGATTCTTCAAGAGCGTGAATGCCGCCCATCAGTCATCACTGCAGTGACAACAGTACAAAAAGCAAAAACAAAACATCTATCAGCTCCTGTGACGAAACCAGCAAGGAGTGGAAAGACCCCACGTCCCAGATCTGATGCATGCTTCAGCATCACCTTCAAGGAATCTAACAAAACCAACTTCAAGGTGGCATGCACCGCAAGTTCACCCAACTGAGACTGGCCGCAGGTGCGCAACTGGTGGGACTCACAGCATCCGGGTTTGGAAAGCCACGTCTACGCAAATCCAGAATAGCAAGGTGTCTCCTGCGAGGATATAATCGTCACCCGGGGGCTTTGCCTTCCTGCATCACCATTGCCTGTAACGTACGATACATGGCCTCCAAAAGACGGCCCTCTGCAAAAGTATGAAGCAAAAAGAGGGGGGGGGGCTGGAATTACACCGTATGTACCGCATGGCCTCCTCTCCACGCCTTTTAAAAGCATCGATTTCTATCCCAGCACGGTATTTACTTCTCCGTCGATCTACGCGGCGTATCATACGACCCTCGGCATACTTAATTCTTGTAACGACACCCAGCCGGTGTCGGTGGTTTTACTATGTCTTGTCGACGCTTGTGTGTTGGCTTTTGTGAGTGTGTGTGTTTTGTGGTTGTAGCCTCCGAGGTTGAGAGAGAGTAAGATGCAGCAAAACCTTCGCTTTATGGGTTATTCACACAAACAGTGTTTCTTCCAATTGTAGTGTAAATATAGGCGGACACTGTTTGGATTGTTGTGAGCTATTCTTGCCCATGCCCCCTTGAGTTTTGTACTCACTTGGCCAGGGCGTTCCTGGAGACTGGTGAGCATTATTTATTCAATTATTAAGGAATGATTGGCTTCGGTTGGCATTGCTTTTGAGTGTCAAAGGAGAATGGTGTCGTAAACAAATTTTTCTAAAAAATATTGGTATATACAAGTAAAGCTTTCCAATGATAAATTTCTGGAAAAAAAGTGTTGTGAAGTAGCAGATAGTTTAGGAAACTCATGTTTCGAATAAATGGATTTAGAAAATACATGTGGTTGTTGTCTAAGTTATTTTGAAAAGCAAATTTATGTTGCCAACATGTGAGTTACGTTATCTTTTACTATATTGGAAATTTAAACTTGTTTAGAAGAGTTGGGGAAGTTTCTTTTGTTATCTCTTTGAATTTAAAATGAGGTTTTGTAGCCAAGTTAGGCACATGGACTTCCATAATTTTTTTATCAAAAGGTAGTAATGGAAGAAAATAAGCCTAAGAATGTTTTATGAACAATATGATGTGGACCACTGACAAATGAATGATTTGGAGACAATTGAGGGCATCTTAATTTGGAAACATAAAATAGATCTAGAAGATAGAAACTTTTTTTTGTGGGGCGGTGGATCTAAATCTCTCTCCATCCATCATTACTTTAATTTAAGTCAAATTAGGTAAATCCTTTTAAAAATCTATGGAAGAAAAAAGGATTTACCTAATTTTGTTGGATATATAAGTAAACAAATGGAATGTGGACTCCTATGTTGTGGAACTTTAAAACTTATTGACATGAGAAACTTACAGTCTTATAATCCATCTTTCTAATGAGCAGGTTGCATTCTTTTGTTGTTGCATCGATGCAATTTTTAACATAATTGTGGATTTTATTAGATTTCATTGTCCGTTCCACCCTCCTCTTTTGCTACCCATATTAGACCTATTCTTGTCCTCATACCACCCTATATTAAATAAGGAGATTTTTGAAATCATATATAATACAGGATAAAATTCATGTGATTTTGTAATGTTAAAAAATCAAAACCAAGACAACTGAAAGAAAAAAAAAATACTAACAAATTGTAATGGTGTGTTAAAATATATAAAGTCTCTCTCTTTATATATATATAAAGTCTCTCTCTTTATATATATATAAAATCTCTCTCTCTTTATATATATATATAAAGTCTCTCTCTCTCTCTCTCTCTCTCTCTCTTTATATATATATATATATATATATACATATACCTATTGAAGGCTACTATGTCTTAGTTTATGTTAAATTAGCCATTATCATCTCCACATGTGTGAGGCCCAATCACCACACCACCACATGCTCTGCTGCTATTCAGAGTGTAAGTAGCAAGCATGACACTTTAAACTGACTTGATTAGTGGTAAGTTAAGTGATTAACGTTGTTGATGGGTTGCACAATGACAGGATTGGGGGCAGTGGGCAGGTCCCAAAACCCATGCCTGATTTTAAAACTCCCTGACAGCTGCTG